GGATCACAGTTCAAAATCCTCACCAATCTTCTTACCAGAGTTCTGTTAGATTTTCAGGCAAACCTTCTAAATAATTTTCATCTCTCTAAGGGTAGATGCAATCTATAGAGTAATATAACATAACTAACATCATGAGAAGATAGAAATTTGATTCTGCATAGAGCCAACCAAATAATGGAGTTAGTTATCCAAAGAGAATGTGGCGTATCTTTTAAGGAGTGATTAAAATGATTGACATGTAAATATGTAGTAGTAGTGTATCAATCACTCAGTTTTTCAAACAAGTTCTAAAAGTTAGAGTAGTAGCACTTTGAAGGTAATTTACATCATTTAAGTTGAAGTTCTTTTCCTACTGATACTTTTTGTATTAAAAGAAAAAGCATGGGGGGGGTGGGGAGATGACTCAGTGGAATAAGCGTTTCCCTGGCAAGCGCAAGGGTCTGAGTTCAATCCCCGGTTCCGCCAAAAAAAAAAAAAAAAAAAGAAAAAGCATAGGAAAAGAAGTGAATTTTACTAAACACAGAAAGTTCTAAAAGATTCAAATTAGTTCACTTCAAACAAGAAATAGTCATATGAGATATTTTTTTTCTAGAAACAAATAACCTGGGACAGTTTTTCAATATCTGTCAACCTTTTAGGTAAAATCAAATTTTTTCATGATAAATGAGCTTTATCAAACTACCAGCCATTTATATAGTGAAAATAGATCTAATTAACTTATGTTCTATGGATTTGCTAGATTTTTTTTCTAAGATAAGACAAATACTAACTGCAGAAGCAGTGACAGATCAACCTGACTGGATGAAAGTCAGGGATCTAGTAGGGAAATCAGCGATCCCTTTGAAACTGTAATGACTAAATTGTATCTGGCAGATGATAAACCAAGCTTAGTTTGAGGCATAAATTAAATAACTCCAGTGCCTTTTAGGAAGTATTAACTGAAGGAACAGCATGTCAGGAAAAATAAGCTGAGCTTCAAGAAAAACAAATTTAGTTTTACTTTGTTATTAATGTTTTGTTGACGTTTTTGATCTCTTAATTTTCATTTTGTATAAGAATATTGTTGCTTTTTATTTGATAATTACATTTGTTCTGGAGAATTGGTATATATGCATATTGCACCTTGGTTATTTTTATTCCCCATCTTCTTCCAACCTTCTCCCCTTCTCTCTTTCCCCATATCCCTTGCCCTTCTCCATGTTTGCTATTACTTTTTCTTCTGTTTTACTTTTTAAATTAGTTATACTCTGACTCTCATTTCAGAGAAAACATGCCATATTTAACCTTCTGTCTCTGATTTGTATCACAACATGATGGTCTTAAGGTACATCCACTTTTCTACAAATAATTCAAATGTATCCTTCTTTGTGGCTTAATCATACTCCACTGTGTGTGTGTATATATACATCACATTTTCTTTGTCCATTTATCTCTTGATGGGCATATAAGCTGCTTCCATAATTTAGTTGTTGTGAGTTGTGTTGCTAGAAACATTAGTATGTATGTATCATTGTAATGAGGTATCTTTAACTCTTTCCGGAAGATAACCAGGAGAGATATAGCTGGGTCAAATGGAATCTGTAGTTTTAGTTTTTTGAGGAATATCCATTCTGATTTCTACAGTGGTTGTACTAGTTTACATTCCTACTAGCAATGTGAAGAGTTCCTTTTTTTCCACAACCCTGCCAGCATTTGTATTTTGAATTCCTGATGATAGCCATTTTTCAGGAATAAGATTCAACCTCCGTCTTGTTTTGATTTGCACATTTTACCAGCCAAAGATGGCCAAATACTTTTCATGTCTTTATTAGCCATTTGCAACTCTTCTGAGAAATGACTATTAATTTTAGTTGTTGAGTTTTGATGGGATCTTTTTGGGGGTTCTGATGTTTTTGAGTTCTTTGTGTATTCTTGATATTAGTACTCAGTCACAGGGGTAGTTGACAAACATTTTTCCCTGTTCTGCTTCTCATTCTGTAGCTATGTCTTCATTTGGCTGTTGGTTGTTTTGCTGTACAGAAGCTTTTTAATTTGACATAATCCCATTTGTTAGTAAGATATCTTATAGAATTGGAGTTCTGCCCAGGAATTCCTTGCTATGCTTATGTCTGAAAGAGTTTTACTAACTTTTTCTTTCCAACCTGAATGTTTCTGTTTTATACCTAGTTCTTTGATCTATTTTTGATGTCAACATAAGGTGAAAGACACATACCTAAATTTACTCTTCTGCACATGGATAATCAGTTTCTCCTGGCTTATTATTAAAGAGTCTAACTTTCCTCAAATATATCTTTTTGGCCTCTGTCAAAAATCAGTTGGCTGAAGGGGCTTGCGATGGTTTTTATATCCTCTATTATATTCTATTTGTCAACATGTCTGTTTTTGTACCAATATCAATGCTGCTTTTATTATTGTAGCTTTATAGTATAATTTGAAGTCTAGAATTGTAATGCTTTTAACTCCTGTTTTATTTTTTGGTTCACTTCTGATCTATAAGAACTCTATTAAGTTTTATGTGGTGATTTTGTGCCTTGGCATTTTAGTGAATTTGTTCATTACCTTTAAGAGTCTTTTTGCTGTAGAGTTGTTAGATCTTCTATGTAAAAGATGTCTTCTGTGAATAGGGTTAGATTGACTCCTTCCTTTCCTATTCAGATCCTCTTTTCTTTCTCTTGCCTGATTGCTCTAAGAGTTTGAGTGCTACATTGAAGAGGAGTGGTAAGAATGGATACACTGATCTTATTCCTGATTTTAGAAGGAATACTTTTAGTTTTTCCCCATTTAGTATGATGTCATCAGTGGACTTGTCATAAATGTTTTTATCAGTGTAATATAAGGATATTCTATGCCTGCTTTTATAAGAATATTCTTTTTTATCAAAAAATGGGTGTTAGATTTTTGTCAGAGGCTTCTTATGATCAAATGATTTTTATTCTTATTTGATGTGCATTTATTTCGTGGGATGAAGTAGGCTTGCTCATGATGTGTCATGATCTTTTTAATGATTCATTGCCTTTTGTTTAGAAGTGGTGTTGATGATTTTTGTATGTCTGTTGTTTAAAAAATGTATAGTTTTCTATAGTTTTCTTTTTCATGTGTGTCATTCTCCAGCTTTGGGGTCAGGGCAAGACTAGCTTCAAGGAATGAGTTTGCCAGTGTTTCTTCCCTTTCAGTTTCGTTAAAGCGTTTGAGGTGTGTTGGCATTGTTTCCTAAAAGTTCTGGCAAGCATTTTTTTTTCTCCTTCTCCAAGCCAGGATCTCACTGTGGAGTCTGGGCTGGCCTTGAACTGGCTATGGAGTGCAGGCTGGCCTTGAACTTGTAGTGATCCTCTTGTGTCAGCCTCCCAAGTGCTGGGATTACACAGGCACTACCACACAAGAGCTCACCAATCCAGTTTCTGTCAGTGTCCTCTGAATGACTTGCTAGCTTTCAGTTGTTTGGTGCCCTGTTCTGTGACTCTCTCCCTCTCCCAGTGATGAGAAGTTAGGACAGGAGGGCACCAGACAGCGTCTGCTGGGCCCAGGCCCTGCTGCTGTGCTAGGCCCTCACCCTTGGTTAGATCTTTTGTCATGGTGGCTTGTTTGCTGGGCTTCATGCAAATGCAACATGTCAAAGGTTGGCCCTGCTTCTTTTTCTAAATATCTTTGAACTGGTTTTACACTATCATCTGGGGTTTCTTTAGATTGCCTTCCCATATCCCGGTCTTTGTTCACACACACACACACACACACACACACACACACACTCATTTCGAAGTGCCTGTACTTCCCAGGGTGCACATTTCAGGTTGAACACTGTTGGAATGTTCCACAGTACATGATGGGATCTTGGAGTTGTCATTCTTAAGTGAGAGAATTGGATAATAATTTGTACTATATCAAGATTCCTTTTAATTATAAAATTTTGGGAAAATGAAAAGGATGGTCATTTGGTCTCTCAGATGTAATTATTTTGTGATGGATGAGTGAAGTAGAGGTAATTATAGAATTTTTAGTGATCAGAAAATAGGATACAAAGAACTTAAATGCTTTAAGTGCATTACTTTCTTTTCCTGTAAAACAAGATGATTAATGTTGTTGATCAAAGATAAAAGTAATATCTTTCAATTTAAGTACTTACATATTTTATGTTTGCTTATTATTCATTTTTTTTTTTTTTTTTAATTCTAACAAAGTTCCGGGGTGTTCTTTTGACCATAATAGTATAACATTTGTGTTTATTAAATATACTGTAACTTGGTGAATTCACTGTCTGCCATCCTGAAAATACCTGTCATCCCCCCGACCTTAACTGATAAATGAATGAATGAACATACATATGTTTGTGTGTGTGTGTGTGTGTGTGTGTGTGTGTGTGTGTATATATATATATATATATTTTATATATTCGTCTTTAGCCATGTTAAACTTATAGCAACAGTGTTGATTTTTAAGTGCTAATACTGATTTTTAAGTGCTAATCTCAGTAAAAGAGAAAGTTCAGATCTGTTTGGGTTGTTGACATGTGTGTTCTGGTTTATAGTAATAAATTCTGTTTAATTTAGAATATGATATTCTGGTAAAACCTAATAATAAATTCTGTTTAATTTAGAATATGATATTCTGGTAAAACTTGGGGTTTACTTGCTCTCTAAAGAAATTAACTGGGGGGTCTTTAGCTCAGTGGTAAGCTCCTGTGTAACATTCCTAAAATCCTGTGTTTAATCCCAGTACTGGGGTGGGAGTGGGAGAGATTAACAAAGATAATAGAAAAATATCTCAAAGAGTAGACAGAAGTAGAAAAAAACCCAGTAAAATGAGAATTGAATATCTAGAGAAATAGCATGGTAATTTTGAGAGGTGAAATTTACTTATTTGAACCAAAGGCATCAGGTGTATTCTCAGACATTGGGAGAAGCCCTTCAGGGAGGGGCTAATATGGGTAAAGCAGTAAAATGTTCTGTATTCTCTTTGACATGATAGTTTTCTTAACTGCTTTTTTCCCTCAAATCACCATGCAGACTATGGCGAAGAAAAAAGAGTCTTAAATGGTAAGTCATATTGTAATAAAAATTTCTTCACAGAATTGTCTGGGGTATTTAGATTTTTTTAACACAAAGATATGTTTACTCCCCCAAACACAGAGGATGGCAGAACTATATGGGCCCCTGTTCCCATCCATTACTCTTAAAACAGTTCCTTCTGTGGCATTGCTGAGCACGTTTCCCTGCCCAAGACTTGAGTAACTCTAGGATTAAGACTAGCTAGGCCCTCTCTCTCCAGCACATGAGCTTACCTCCAGCGTGGTACACAGATGCTGCTCAGCATGTTCGCATGCTCTCTGGTCTGAGCAGCGATGGCATCCCCAGCTGCTTGGTATGACCTGGCATTACGGCTGATGTTGTTCCACTGCTCCCAAGTGAAGTACTGGTCAGAACTAACTTATGAAATGTCTGAGGCTTCTCTGACTGAACTGTATTATTGTATACTTAGAAAGATTCTTTAAAAAAAAAAAAGTTACAGCAATGCAGCTCACATTTTGATTGCCAGAAGACTTACCATATCTTTTTTGATTAAAGAAATGGTCTGTGTTGTAGACTAATTTATGCACTTTATGATACCTGAAGTTGTTGTCCAGTTAACACTGTTAACCTGAAGTCTGATCTCAGGTTTTGCCTTATGACAGATTTTTCTCTAGTACTGTGAAAACAGTCATTGCTTATTACTAATGGATTGGACTCTTTCCCACCACATGTGCCTTCTAGAACCTTTACTCCCTGTTCACTCTCCTTTTGGTACACTGTATTTAATAGCTCAGTCAGAGGTGGCCATAAAAATGGATGTTAGCACACCACAGTGATCTGGCTAGCACTGTTACTTCAACTTGGATCCTAAAGGACTAGAATGTGTGTATTGTTAACAGCAGATTCCATCTCACTCATTAATATTTATGTGCTAAGTCTGTTTGCAAATACAATCTACCTGCTTTCTGTCATTATTCCAGTAGCTGCTTAAAATACTGACTGGGCTGCTGTACCTTTGCATTTCATTAGATACCTGAACCCTTCAAATTGGTATCAGTCAGTCAGCCTGCGTTTTCAGAAGGAGTACGTTCATTTAGTCTACCTTACTTTACTCCATCTCATATTTATCCCACATTCTTACCTTATCCAGAAAAAATGCAAAGTTTTGGATTTTTTAATATTTTCTTCTTACAAATTATGAAACCAAGACACATTCTATGGCATATGACATTATTTTGTTCTAGTGAGTTATATTTTATGGTGTGGTATAAGTTTTTAATAAAAGATGTCTAGAACTTACCTCTTACGTTTTTGTAAAGTTTGAAAGAAATCGTGGTTTTCATAAGTTTACAGTGCAAAGACTGAACTTAAATCCAGACGTTGTGGTTCTAATCAAGTTGTACAAGATCAAAATTGACTGAAAATTTATGAGTTCTGTTGATGACTTTTTCTCACAGAAATTTTTAGATTGTGATGCATGTGTTGTTTATATACCAAACACTTCCTAATGAGAAATGACATTAATCTCATAATATCTCTCAGTGTTTCTCAAATAATTTAATAGTCTTTGTTCATGCTATTACCAATTTAGGAAAAGCATTCTTTTAGTCTTTGGTTTTATTACACCTATAGTTTGTGTGAACACTGTTCTGTTAGGGTCCAGACACATTGGTTCATGCCTTTGGTCCTGTTGTGACATCTCTGAGGCCTCATTTGTCTTCTGAAAATCTAGTGTGCTCCACAGTCAGTGGGAAGAGACAGAAGGGGTGTGAATAAGTCCTAGGCCCAGCCCTCTCCCTCAGCCTGATGCTGAAAAACGTACCTGTGATTTCAAATGTGATTGTGTAACTTAAGTCTTGTAGGACTAAATGAAAAGAAACTTAAAGCCTCAAAGCTGGCTTATGGCTACAGTGTCTCCAAGCTTAACTTTATATAATTAATTTGACAACTGACACTGGTCTGATCATTAATTTTTGGAATATTATAATTAATGCATTGACTTTCAAAAGTCATTCAGTAACAGTAATGATTTTCCTAATCTGAATCTTGCAGATACACTTTGTTCTTCTGTGATAGGAGGAAATTAATATTTAGAAATTTATTTTTTCACAGTTCTGTGTCTCTGAGCTTTATGAAGTGACTGTAAAATCATAGTTTTTGTGGGCCTTTAAAGTGTTGTATTGATGCAGATCCACAAGAATGAGTGAAATGTACACAGATATTGTGTGTTGGTAAGGTAGTAGAGCAACTGGAACTCTCAAACCCTGAGGTTAAAGTATAAATTAGCATAGCCATTTTGAAGAGTATCTTCTAGAGCTAAAACCCTACATACCCACCAGCAATGTGCATCCGTGTTAAGAATGTACATGTACATATACAAGAACATTTTAATAGCATTGTGCATAATAGCCTGATCCTAGAAGAGCCCAGAAGCCCATCAATAGAATGAATAAATTATGTATTCATATGGTATAATACTACTCAGTAATAAACAGCAACAAACTTACGATGCTTTAAAAACCTGATAAAATCTCAGGAAGTTATTGGTTTGATTTATTGCTACTATTAGTCATGCTTTTTGCCAAGAAAAAAAAAAAAAAAAAAAACAACTGTAATGTCTTATGTTGAGCAAAAAGCCCAGGTCAAAACGAATATATTTTATAACTTGTCCATATGAAGGTTAAACATAGGCAAAAACTAATCAAAGCGTTAGAAATCCTGGATATCCTTGGGGGAGGGACACAGAGAGGCTGTTGGGTACAAGGGTTTGTGTTTGGCTTTATAAAAATGCATTGTGTACATTTATAATTATGTGCACAATAGCTGAAGAAGTTACCTGGAAAGACTAAAAAATTTTAAATGCTTTGTAGCTGAACTATTGTTTTTTTTTTGTGTGTGTGTGAAGGTATGCGTCTCAAGACCCAGGTGTCAGATACACTTGCCAAAGAAGGTCTTGATTCTCCAAGGTAAATACTTTGGTTTTACTTTTTTTTTGGAACTGGGGATTGAACTCAGGCCCTTGCGCTTGCCAGGGAAGTGCTTATTCCACTGAGCCATCTCCCCGGCCCCTTGTTTTACTTTTAAAGCTAAATCTTTTCTGTACAAAAGTTACACATTTAAGAGAAGAAACCAGCTCTAGCTTTGATTTTTATTAATTGTTCTTTTTTGACACATGAACGGTATTACATAGTTTTTCATTATCAGATGTTGGAGAATGAGCTATTCTGTAACTGTGAATTGGAAATGTAACTGAATTTGATCCATTTTAGACCAACATTTTACAAAGTTGTTCAAAGCTTTTCTGATTATAAAAAAGTACATTCATTTCATAGCTTAAAAAATACAAAGCAGTACAAAGGAGGTGATAGAAGCATGTGACACCAACCTTAGACACTACTCTTGACACTTGATTTGTTTGTCATGTAATACCTATGGGTACATTGTACTGTTTTTCATAGTATTGGCATTGCAGTATATTCTTCTGTAAGCGGTTTTCTGTGTTAGTGCATACTCTATGCAAGCATTATGTGGCATTGCATAATATGACCAGTCTTTAAATAATTAAATTTTTGTATATTTGGTTTCTTTATATAAATTTAATGAAACTATTTCAAAATGTATTGAGCACCAATTATCTTAGGTAGTTAACACCAAAAACATAATGTGTATATATTTTTGCTAATGATACTTCATATACCTTCAGAGTTCTGTTTTCTTTATAGTTCTTTCTCTTACTGCTTTCTCCACCAGTATATATTAGTGTGTTAGCAAAACATACTATATTCTATTATTGCTATTATAAAAGATTTTATTAGGACGATGTATAACTTTTTACAAGAAAGTATCTTAACCATATTACTTTTTTCTACTAAAACACTGTAAGTATAGATACTTTGAATTGAGAAATAATTGTCAGCTATTTAATAAAGAATGTAAAATGTCATGGCAGTTATTTGCAAAAAGTTTAAGCTAGAGAAATGTATTTCTCACTGTAAGTTGTAAACATGTAATGATTTTATATGTTATTGCACATCAACATCAATATAATTGTTCTCTTCTTAATGTTTTACAGCTATGATTGGTTCCAAACAGACTCTTTAGTCACCATTGTCATATATACTAAACAAAAGGTAAACACATCATTAAAAATCTGAAAAAAGTAAATACTTAATAAATGTTAATAAAATGTTAGTCATGTTTGTACCAGGTCCTTTTTTAAATGCTTTTCTTACATTAGTGTATCTATTCCTTACAACTCTGCAACACAGATGCTGTTACCTGTAGTTCACACACAAAGCGGAGAAAAGTAACTTACCCAAAGTAGCACAAGGGTTTGGAACCATAGCAGTGTGACTCCTGCCTAGTATATTCTTCTCAAGATGCTGTGGACTCTTAAACTAGACTAGAAAGTATTTAATATGTTTGTCTATGTTTTCTTTTAAACAAGGATGAGAAAAGTGAATCATAGTAAACTCTGTGAGAATAAATTTTCTAGAATATAAATGTGGACAAGAAAAGCTGCACCACCAAGGCTTAGCACGTTTAAACCGCTAATGGTAGTCAGAGCCTCTTTTGCAAATTAAGCAAAATGATTCATCCACTAAGTTTGTGCGATGTCTCTTTTGTATGAAGCACTGTCAGGATCTAGAAATGGACCAGATATATGAAGAACCGGTGTTCACAGAGCTCACAGTTCAGCTGGGGAACTGGATAAAAAAATCAGATAATTCAGAATATCTCCAAACACAACTTCCAACAACTGTTGCTGCTTCCACATGTAAAGAACACGTTTTGATAGCTAGGAATTTAGAGAATTTATACTGCTTTTGTGCTAGTGGAACCTCTCCTGAGCCCATGAATTCCACGAACCTGCAACATGATTTGACCTTTCTGTGGAGGTGACCAGCCCTTACATGATACGACCAACAAGGTCAGAGAAGCTGTGTGGCCTGCCTTCTGCTCCTCACTCTTGTCGCCTCCGCAAACATCAAAAGGAAGACAGCAGGGGCTAGGGAGATTGGGGTCCCCCTGACTGGTAATAGAAGGTAGCTGACTGTCTTCTAGAAGGTAATAGAAGATAGCTGACTAAGAGAAAGGGAAAGTTTTCCTTGGAGAATAATGCATTCTATGTATGTTGTAAAGAATAGGTACCAAAGTGCCTTGCGTCAATACAATATAGAAATTAGAGACATCTAAAATTTGATAATGAATTTTTTTGTAAGCTGAAGTTGAACAACTATGCAATTTCTCCAGTATCACATAATAGGGGAATAATTAAAATAAATAAACACAATTTTGGTTTCTGGTCTGATTGTACTTTTTTTGCCACATTACTTATTCACCAAATATTAATTGAGCATCTCCTAGTTGCCAAGCAATGATTTAAAGGTGGTCCCTTAACTTGCAGCCCAGAGACTACTGGGTTAGGGGATATTAAAGCTGTGATAAGTGCTTTCAAGAAGGACTGGTTTATAAGAGAAATAAAACAGGACTGACATCCATCTGTAGCTTCAGGATTCTATGAAGTAGTATATACAAACTTTTATACTGATCACCTTAAAGGTAGAGTTGTGAAAGTTTAGGGAAAATTTTACTTTTTAATTTATCTGACTTTGCTTTGCTTTCTGTTTAAGGATATCAGTTTAGATTCAGTAATAGTTGATCATCGAGATGATTCCTTTAGAGCAGAAACAATTATCAAGGATCATTCGTATCTTATACATATTGGTGAGTATCTTATTTTAATGACTCGCCTCTACTTGTGGCAGTCATTTTTTGTACAGTCTAGGTAGCAGTATTTTATCTATTGTTTTATTTTGTCATTTTTGATCACATTTTTCATATTTCTTTCTATTAATGAAATGGTAGAGTGATGTTACTTTTCCAAGTTAAAGCAATTAGATATAATCAGAAATAATAGTAAATGTGTTGGGCCACTTTTGGTAAGTCTCTTACACTTGACACTTAGTAAAGCTCTGGAGGGCTGGTGGGCGCACATTTGTACTCAGCTTCACTAGGTGACCCGTTCCACTGGCCTGGTTCTTGCCAGCCCTGCCCCAGGGAGTCTGAGGCCACCACAGGCAGCCTGGGCCTCAGCTGGGCCTTACCCGTGTGCCTTATCCTCTTTCTCCTCGTGGTCTAAGCCAGGCAACTCATTCACTTCTGCCCATTTTGAAAACTACAAATTTATCAGAATAAAGAAATCAGCTAAAATCTGGAATCAAAGATACATCATTTTAATCCAGTTCTCACCTATAATGAACTCCATAATTCCCGTTTAAACATATCTGAATTAATATTTAATAACAGAATTTCTGTTTTATTATATGATGGTGACTTTTTTCATTTGAAGGTAGAAATAGCACACACAAACACATAAACAAAACAATACTAAGAAGAAAATGATCTTAGTCATGGTGTGCAAGTTTACATAAAGAAAATCATGGAACCGCAGGTGGAATTCTCTGTGCTTCAATTGCTTTAGCTTCTGCTTACCACTTGGCTACTTCAGTGAAGTAGGTTTAGTTCTAAAGTTGGTCTAAGCTGACCCCCAGCCCTTGCCCCTGCAGTTCATTAGATTCGCCTATGGCAAATCTTTAACCTTTTTACTAAAAACAGTTTTCTCAGTGCTTTGGGTAACAATTTAAACACTTTTATCAGTCCTTAGAAACATTCATGGCCCTTGTTTGGGTTCAGGCATATGGGGAAAACATGTAGCTGGCTGCCTATACAGC